TCATTTCATTTTTGTTAATTTCCAATTTTCCTAGATTCATACTTGGTACATTCCATGTTCCAATTATTAGTGGATGTTTGCATCTGTTTCTACTCATTTTGAGTCATGCCACATCAGCCAGTGGAGGTCCCGAAAACTTTACTCTATCCATATCGTTAAGATCGTCTCTACTTTGTGGAGTCAGCTCTTCCCCAGTCAAATTTTGAGTGCCTTCTGACCTGATGGGTTCATCTTCCAGCACTCCATCAGACAGTGTTTCAGGGCTATTCATAAAGTTTTCCAGTAACATATCAGACAGTGTTTCACTGCTATTCATAAGGTTTTCACTGGCAATTGTTTGAGAAGTAGATGGCCTCTTCCTTCTTCCAAGTCTGTCTTAACCTGGAAGCTCCACTGAAACCTGTCCACCAGGGGTAACCCTGCTGGCATTTTGCAACACAGTGGCATAGCCTCCAGCCTCACAGCAACACATAAGCCACCACAGGATGACAAACTGACAGACAAGTTCGTCTCCCTTAGTTGTTCCTAACCTTCTGCACCTGCCTACCTCGGGCAACAGCCTTAAAATAGAGCTGCCCCCAAGTGAAAAGCAGCCCCCGAGTCCCGGCCCACCTACCTCTGGCCCTAACCTTAAAATCTACTCAATGGCAGTGGGTATTTAAATGGAGTGATCAGAGTAAGGCTCTGCTATTGTTCCTAAAGTCCCAAACCTCCACCCTGGGCCAACCCAGGGGTGGGATGGTGGGGCCTTAATGTCTCAAACTTATTTCAAAGGCTCAGTCCATCATCTGGTAAAGGCCAAAAGCTCTTATTTACTGAATATTTACCCTGTGCCAAGTTCTATGAGGGACATCTTAGACTCAGTCTCTTATTCAATCCCCACAACCATGAAGTAGGCACTGCCATTATTCCTATTTTATAGGTAAGAAAACGGAGGCTCAGAGAGGCTGAGTAAGTGGCCCTAAAGTTGCATAACTGGGAACCTCAGACTAATCCCAGAGCCAAACTTGTCCATCACCCTATGCTGGCAGGGAGCTTGTCAGCAGTTCTCATACTCATTACTCCTTGCTCACTTTCAAAGGCCACACTGGCCTCTTTCCAGTTTCTCGCCACACTGGCCTCTTTCCAGTTTCTCAGGCCCCTTGCTCTTGGGGTCTGTGTCCATGCTGTTGCTTTTGCCTGTACTTGCCCATTGGTTCTCAAATTAACATCTTCAGAATAACTTCTCTTGGCAGAGGATATTCCCACACAATGTATTTGTATATGCAGTAAATATATCCGTGGATATAGTACAGCACACAGAGGACAAATTCTGAAAACTTCTTAGCCATAACCAAACAACTTGAGAGAATGAATCACTGGGCTTAGGGATATAGGACAACAGTCTTAGGGGACATCTAGGTCAACTGGCATATATTGTCCACAAAGACAATGTTCTACATCCAACTTTGGTGAATAGCGACTGGGGTTTTAAAAGCTTGCAAGCAGCCACCTAAGATGCAACTATTGGTCTCTCCCCATCTGGAGCAAAGAAGAGTGAAAAAAATCAAAGACTCAAGGAAACAATTAGTCCAAAGGACTAATGGACCACATGAACCACAGCCTCCACTACACAGGAACCAGAAGAACTAGATGGTACCTGACTACCACTACTCAGCACTCTAATCAGGATCACAATAGAAGGTCGACAGAGAGGGAGAGAAGAAAAAAAAAAGTAGAACAAAACTCAAAATCGTAGGAAAGACTAGACTTGCTGGTTTGATAGAGAGTGGTAGAACCCCTGAGACTATGACCCTTATACACCCTTTAAATCTGGAACTGAATACACCCCCAGGGATCAACTTTCAGCCAAATAGACAGGCTTATAAAGTGAATAATAACACACACACACACACACACATACACCAAAAAAAAAAAAAAAAAAAACTCACTGCAGTTGAGTCAAATCCAACTCAGAGAGACCCCTCCTGGGGTTTCTGAGGCAGTATCTCTGCAGAAGTGATTGCCCAGTCTTCCTTCTGAGGAGTGGCTGGTGGGTTTGAACCACCAGACTTCTGGTTAGCAGTCAAATGCCAAAGTGATTAATAACACAAGGGAGGAATGTATTCCTAGGTACCATCAACCATACAAGACCAAAAGGGCAGCATTTGCCCAAAAACATAGCTCAGAAGGTAGGAAGGGGCAGGAAAAGATGAATGGAAACAGGAAACCCAGGGAGAAGGTAGGAAGACCGCTGTTACATTGAGGGGATTGCAACGACTGTCATGAATTGAGTGAAAAACTAATTTATTCTGAAAATTTTCACCCAAACTATAATAAAAAGTAATTAATTAATTAATATCTTCCCTGACCTCCCAGTCTAAAGCATGTCCCTCATCATTCTTTCTCAGAGCATCCCATTCTCTCCTTTCATGGCCCTTAACCCATTGTAATGACTTATCCTTTTGTGTTTACTTTTTTAGTGCCTTTCTCCACAAATAATAAACAATAAACTGCAAGAGGATAGGAATGTGTCTGTTCTATGTACCGTAGCCTTGAAGAATGCCTGGAGCACAGTGGGTCCTCAACAAAACTATTAAGTGTAAAAAGGTAGAAAGGTATGGATAGGATTGTCCCTTCAGAAGCCAAACCCTCATCTGAAGGCAGCTCTAGTTCCAGCCTGTTATAGGGGCCCAGGCAAGACCCTTGCTGCTTCTGAGCCTCAGTTTCCTCAATGGTCAAATGAAAGGCTAGAAGAGAGGACCTCTAATGGCTTTCAAGCTTATCTGACCTTTAGATCACAAATCCTAGGCTGTCCATCACTCCAAACATTCCAGGCTCCAGGTCTCTGCTGCCTCTTGCCCACCCTATGCCTGGATAGCACATTAGAAAAGGGGGAGGAGGGTGCATCCCAAAGTTCCCTAGATTATTAGGTACATGGGGCCTTCATACCCTATACTAGGAGAACCAAACAGCATGAGATTTCTTCCAGCTCTAATAGCTCATGTCCCTGATTACCCCAGGCAGCTGCTTCTACTTCTTTCTTCAGAGCCCCTGAACCCTTTCCCCCAACTACTGGGTTCTCAGTCCACTGGGGACACTAGTTCTATCTACTCAACCCTTGTTGTCACAGGCATAGCAGGAGCTCTAGGAGGGTGAGACTGTGTTTTGCTCACCTTTGTACCCATGGCACTTAGCACAGATCTCTACACATAGGTGTGCCAAAGGTCAGGCCACCAAATTAAATGTTACCGGCAGGGCCTGCCAAGATCTTCTGCTGAGGATACCACTTTTCTCCTGGGGTCCTCAGTATCAGGAGAAGCACTTGAGGTGGAGAGAACCTGGCTTCCAATAAGGAAGCAGATTCCATCTGACCAACCCAGGCCTGGTGCACTCTACCCTCCTCCCACCCCATTCACCAGGCCCCAGGTTATCAGCGGCAGCTGGTCTTACATAGAAGCCTGAGAAGTCATCACCCTCTGGGGACTGCATTTACTCACTCTTCTATCCAGTTAACATTCTGACAACTAGCCAGCCAGGACAGACACTCCCTAAACTTGAAACAACTGCTGCCTCCCGTTCTTCTCAGAATAAGGCTCCCTTGGCTTTGATGCTTATTCTGTTTGTCTTTTAAAATAAAAGAAAATGAGATAATTAGTCCTGACCTAAGAATTCCACACAGGGAAAAGGTTTCTTATTTTACCTCTTGGATATAGTAGAGTTTTTACCCAGGTTTTTACACTGTTGGTTGTGTGAAGGGATGAGGCTGAGTATACAAGTGAGCACATGAGTGGGGAAACATTGTGCTCACTGGAGAGAGCATGATCATGTGGACAGGTACAACCTGGACTGGTCAGAACCCTGGCAGTATCACTCATGACTGTGCAACTTTGAACAACCTGCTTAAACTCTGAATCACAGTTTCCTCATCCAAAAAATGAGAGTGAAAAGAATTCCTCTTTCAAGCGTTGTGAGAATCAGACTTCAGGACAGGTGTTTTGTAATCAAGAAACCAAAAAGCCTGTTGTCATCAAGTCAAGCTGACTCACGAGACCCCACGTGCATCAGAGTAGAACTGAGCTCCATGGGGTTTTCAATGGCTGGTTTTTCACCAGGCCTTTCTTCTAAGCTGCCTCTGGTGGACTCAAAGTGCCAGTCTTTCAAGCTATCATTAAAAAGCCCACTAAATATTAACAGTTGTTAGAAATGGAAGGTGAGAAGATAATCTCAGAAAACACTGATTTCTATCCAAAGAGTAACAATTTTCAGATCTCAGAGTTTAGCCCTGGCTGCATTCCAGATTTAGCAAATCTGAAAATGGACCAAATAACTCAGAACCCAGAAAACTTTATGACCAGGCTCATGTGGTTGGTTCCTCAAAACAAATTTATTTTCAGTAGGATTACTTTACCTACAATTCAGGCTCTGAGTTTAAAAAAAAAAAAAAAAAATCTAGGAATCATGGACAATCCTAAGTAGGACTCACAGGAGAAAATCAGCAAGCCAGTCTCAGTCCTCAGCCTGACGATGGGCTGGCGAGAAAAGTTGTCAGATGAAACAAGAATCTTTCATTTTGCCATAACTGTCAGCTAGCTTATACAGAAGACATAGGAGTCAACAATTCTAGCCCCTTTTGATGGCCGCCAGTCTTTACTGCCAGAGAAATGACTTTGTTGTTATGTGCCGTCGAGTCAGACCCAACTCATAGCGACCCCTCCTTGGGTTTCCGAGGCAGCATCACTATGGAAGTAGATTGCCCAACATTCCTTCCAAGGAGTGGTTGGTGGGTTTGAACCGCCAACCTTCTGGTTAGCAGTCAAGTGCCTTAGGCACTACGCTACCAGTGCTCCTTATTTGCCAAGTTATCCATGAAAATGAATAAACCTCAGTCTTGTTTTAAAACTTCCCACTAGTTCTGTGACAAGCCTGTGCCAAAACTTTGTACAACTGACATGTGTATAAAGAGAAGCATAACCTTGGCTCCCTGTTACATCCCCTCTACCTCTCTCACAGTCTCTTACCTCCCCAGCTCCTCCCCGATGTCATAAAAGTCCTCCACCTTCTGCTGCTTGAATGTCTCCATGTTTGGGCTTCTCATTGAGGCCTGGAGCCTACTAACCTGAAATGGATGAAACATGAAATTAGGTTAGTACAAACCTAAGAGTCTAGGGTCTAAAAGTAATTGGCTACGAGAGAGCTAATAATTTTTTTTTTTTTTTTTTTAGTTAATTGAATATTTATTGTATTCATTTGCTGGTTTATTCAACAAATTATTTTTCTTGTGGTAAAAATATATGTAACAAAACATTTGCCATTTCAACCTTTTTTAGGTATATGATTCAGTGACATTAATTATATTCACTGTGGTGTACAACCATCACCACTGTTGTTGTTGTTGTTTGCCGTCGAGTCGGCCCCGACTCATAGCGACCCCTCCTTGGGTTTCCGAGGCAGTATCACTACAGAAGTAGGATTGCCCAACCTTCTTCCGAGGAGTGGCTGATGGGTTTGAACTGCCAGCCTTCTGGTGAGCTGTCAAGTGCCTTAGGCACTATGCTACCAGAGCTCCTAACCATCACCACTAGCTGTTTCCAAATTTTTTCATCACCCTTAACAGAGATTCAGTGCCTTGTAAGTAAAAACTCCCCCTTCCCTCCTCCTACCTGCCCCTGGTAACCACTGATAAACTTTGGTCTCTATGCTTTTGACTATTCTAGATATTTCATATAAGTAAATGGGATCATATGATATTTGTCCTTTTGTGTCTTATTTCACTCAGAACAATGTTTTCAAGGTTTATCCATATTGTGGCATATACCAGACCTTGATTTCTCTTCATGACTGAAATAATATTCCATTGCATAATACCACATTGTGTTTATCCTTTCATTTGTTGATGGACATTTAGGTAGTTTCCAGTAGTTCCACTATTGGGCTATTATAAGAGAAGCTAATAATTTAATGATAACCCATAGTCCTGACCCTTTGAGGTCTACTCTGCACTAGCCTCTCACTTGTGACTGACAGTGTTTAGCTCTTGTTTGATTTATACTAATTTAAATTTGTTTAGGAGAGAGAAAAATAAGCCTCCTCACTTCCTCAGATCTGCTCCAAAGCAGTTCAAAGAAACAGATCCATGACAAATTTCAGCAATTTGTTCTCATTAAATTCAGATCTACTGAGCAAAGAGGCAGCTATTATGCTATGATGCAGTAGAAAGCACTAGCTTTTGAGTCAGAACTACTGGGTTCAAAACCCAAGTCTGCCTAAGTAAGTCATTTAAGCTTCCAGAGCCTCAGCTTTCCCATCTATAAAATGGGGCTAATACTGTAAAGCTCAACTGCAATTCATAAAATTATTGTGTAAACTATAAAATTCTCAGAAGGGTAGGGGATGGATTATCCTGATCTCAGCTCTCTCAGAGTAAGTGCAAGTCACCCAATTGCAAGTCTGAACTGAATTATAAACTCTCTCACTCATCACTTCAAGGGAAACACGAATGGGAGTGGTGTAGCAAATTACAGTAGGCACCAGGAGTCAGGAGCCTGAGGTCCAGGCTCCAGTTTTGCCCACAACTAGCTCTGTGACTTCATCTCTTGTCAGAGCAGCCTCAGTTTACTCATCTGTAAAATAGTGCTGACTCTGCCTGCCCAGGGCACCTTAGTGAGAGCCACAGGACAGCTCTGAGCCCTGGGGAGTGCTACCCACTTCACCAGAAGAAGCTGTTTGCATCCTTTCCTGGATCTCCCACCCCAAGGAGCTCACTCACTCCAGGGAAAGCCACATGGCACCCTAGCCAACACCCTGAGGGCAGGGTGCAGGGCACAGTCTGCAAAACACAAAGACAAAATCAGCTGCTTGTGAATGTGTCTTTCAAGAGTCATCAGCCAAAGCTTCTTGGAGATTATTTCAGCTGGCATTGGTGGCTTCTCTTCTCCTGCCAATCAGATACCAACCACACCCAAGCCCCACGATCCCAAAAGGCTGTTTTCCCCAGGCTGGGTGGAAGCACCATTACATAAGGGCATATCTCACCATCCATCACCAAGTGGCTGGAGGTATTCTAACTCTCAAGGGGATGGATATATTTCACCCTCTTTCCTCCACCTCTGCCCTTTGCAAACAAGAGCTCTGTTACCAGGATGCTACCTGCTTGCCTCCCTCCATTCCATTGAGGCAGACATGTCTCTGGAGAGCCCCAGGAAGAGCTGGCCTGGCTCCCAGCCTTGCTATCAGGGTCACCCACCAACCTAATGCCTGTGGACACCCATGGCTCATCACAAATCCTCCTCTCTGTTCAGTCTTTACTCTGTTCTCAGCCAGGGGCTAGGCAAGCTGGAATACTGAAAAGAGTAGGCTTCAGAGGCCGAGTTCTAGACTAACCTGGGTGTGTATTGGCAGTGTGAGCTCCTAGCAGGTTAGCACCCTCTCTGGGTCTCAATCCTTTCATCTGCAAACAGGAGTGATAACATCTCTATCACCTACCCAACACAGTTCCTATGAGGATCCATTGGGATAAGGATGTTGAAAACACTTTTAAAACCATAAACTATATACAATTAAGGATTATTATTACTAATACTATTATTTGACTTATCCAAGACCAGTGTTTATGTTTCTGCCTCCCATAGCCATTGAGACACCAGTTTGGCTCCTTTCTGAGGAAAAGGTTTTGAGGTTCCCCTGGCAAGTTTGGCTTGACCAGAATCAGAAGCTGAACCCACCTCACTCTACCATCCTGGAAAATCTCCTGATACTAGCCTGAAGGTGACACCATCACAAAGTGACAGCAAAGATGTCACTTTGAGAACTAAGGTGCTCCTGACCCAAGCTACCGTATTTTCAATTGCCTCATAAGCATGCAAAAGCTGGACAATGAATAATGAAGACCAAAGAAGAAAAATTGATGCATTTGAATTATGGAGTTAGCAAAGAATATTAAATATACCATGGATTACCAGAACAAATAAATCTGCTTGGAAGAAGTACAGCCACAATGCTCCTTAGAAGTAAGGATGATGAGATTTCATCTCACGTACTTTGGATATGTTATCAGGAAGGACCAATCCCTGGATAAGTATATCATGCTGGTTAAAGCAGAGGGTCAGCAAAAAAGACCCTCAATGAGATGGATTGACACAGTGGCTGCAACAATGTGCTCAAACATAGCAATGATTGTGAGGGTGGTGCAGGACTGGGCAGTGTTTCATTCTGTTGTACACAGGGTTGCTATGAGTCAAAACCAACTCGATGGTACCTAATAACAATGGCCTGAGAGTGACAGAACTGCTGTCTACCATCTTCTTTTTGGTGGGGAAAAAAAAAATCCCAAATATACCATTTGGGTCAGGCCCTGGAGAGTAGGGTTACTAATTTCACATAGTCAGATGGATACAGAAACTCCAAAAAGTTCTATTGGAAGATACCCCAGGAATGGTCCCAGGAAGAGCTAAGATCCTCTACTTGGTGAGGAGCCAACTCCATTTGCTATCAGGGACTGAGCTGATTGGAAGCAGCCCCAGGTCCCCAGAAAAAGAGTAAGCCCCTGCCTTGGGCATCACTCCTGGGAAGTTAGAGGTGGGGAACAGGGCAGCCCTCTAAGGACAAATTAGGCCCACCAGTTTAGCTCCAACTTGCCTTTCTAGCCTTAGCACCTCCACATATCCTATATTACAGCCAAAGTAGACCTTTCTTGTTCCCCCAAAATTTTCATCCCTGTCATCCCCAGCTCAATCTGGGCCCTGTCTATTGGAGACTCACTTGGATAGCTCACCTAGCAAAAATATTCCCTTCTTGCAAAGCCCAGCTCAAATACCACCATCTCCATGAAGTTCCATGACCCTTGCTTTCTCCAAAACCACATGCAAACTCCCCACTCCTTAAACTCCTAGAGTGTTCAGTGCATAGATCTTTACAGTCCTTATCTCATTCTGGTTTGAGCTCTGAGGGAGTAGTGCTTTAGGCATTTGACTGCTAATCAGAAGGCCAGAGGTTCAAACCTACCAGCCACACCTCGGAAGGAAGATTGGGCAATCTACTTCCATAGTGATACCGCCTCGGAAACCCACAGAGGGGTCGCTATGAGTCAGATCCGACTCAATGGCAACGAGTTTGTTTTTTTGGTTTTGGTTGAACCAGAGAAAGAGCACAGACTCTGTGGCCACATAGTTCTGGGTTCAAATTCTAGCTCTACCACTAACTAGCACATGCTGAGCACACAGGGTAACTTCTCTGGGCTTCCAATTACTTACATGGGAAATGAGGTTAGACAATGCCCAGTCCAGTATTGGTCAGTATGTAGAGCAACTAGAACTCTCAAATACTATTTCTCAAACACTGCCAGGGAATGTACACTGAGACAAGCAGGCACTTTGGAAAACTGGTGGGCAGTTTCTATAGACATACATACCCACTCCTAGCTACATATCCAAGACATATGTGTGCAGATGTTTTCCAAAATAGTCTATGCCAGTTCACAAGGATCCCTGGTGACACAAACAATTAAGCACTTGGCTGCTAACTGAAGGGTTGGTGGTTTGAACCCACCCAGTGGCTCTGCAGAGGAAAGAACAAGAAAATCCTATGTGGCAATTCTACTTGGTCACATGAGTCAAAATTGCCCCAACGGCACCTAACTGCAACACCAACAGAATGTAATAGTACAGAAGTACTATTAGTTATAATTAAAAATTGGAAGAAATCAAATGTCTATCAATAGAAGAACATATACATACAGATATACGCATCCATGGAATTAGTATACAACAATGAGAATGAACAAAACACTGCTACCTGCAACAACATGGGTGAATCTGACAAACATAATGCTGAATGAAAGAAGTTAGACACAAAAGAGGACAATATATAATTCCATTTATGTAAAAGACAAAAGCAGGCAAAACTGATCCATGGTTTTTGAAGAACATTGAAAGGGGAGGTATTGTGATTAGATGAGGACACCAGAAGTTTGTGGGTGCCGGCAATGTTGTTTCATGATCTGGGTGATGGTTGCATGGATAAATGAGGTGTGCACTTATTATATATATAATAAAAATTTTACATAATTGAGGCTAACACCTACTTTATTGGACAAATGAGATAACATATGGGAAATGTTTTCAATGGTCCCTGGATGTGTCCAACAAATGTGAGTGCTGTCCCTCATGCCTATTGTCTTAGAGTCCCCTGAGGGCAGAAGGTGTGACATTCTCACCACTGCCTTCTATAATAGCTGATATGTAGCAAACAATCCATAAATGTTGACTGATTTGAAGTTAGTGTCTGAGCTTCCCTTCTTGCTTCTCAAAGTGGCTGCTCAGATAGGTACCTCATTGGGTAAAAACAACTGATAACAGCTTAAAGCCCTTTCTTAACAGCTCCCCTCAAGATGGATTTGTATTTTACCAGCTCAGAAATGTGAAACTAAAGGAGAGAAACTCTGAGATGGAATTATAGATCCAACTAGGACTTACAGAAGGACCCAGGAGGTATAACACATTTCTGGCCTTTTGAAAACTGAAAGGAGGCAGAGAGAAGGGACACAGCTACAATTCTGGCCAGAGGCACAGGCCATTGGCTCTGGGAATTCCAAGAATAAGGCCCATCTTAATACCTACATTTCTCTTATTGGAGTCACTGGAATTCATGTCCGTGTCTCCAACCCCAAACATGGTTAGAAACAGATTTCCTACAACCTCACAGAAAGAGACCTCACAAATAATCTGTTTGAGGATTTTTAAACTCTGCTTCAGGGGCCACCATAGTAAGGAAGAGGAGCCAGTGGGCACCCCCAACTTTGACCAGAACAGTTTCATTTTCTCCATACTATATGCAGGGTTCTGTGTAAGAGTTCACTAGAGAGAAAAAAATGAAAACCACCATTGTCTGGTCTACTCATTTGTTTTACAAAAGAAGGAAATTGAGGTCCAGAGGGGGAGGGGACTTGCTAAAAGTCACACAGCCAGCCCACTCCAGCTGTTCTTCCCAGGGCTCTGTTGATAGCAATCCCCATGCATCCAATGGTGCCATCAGGGGTTTGGGAAGTCAGTGGCTTCCTAGAGAACAACCTAGGAGGGGGTCTTCTGGGCTGGTAGCATCACTTCATAGAGAAGTCTCAGCCCTCATTAAGCCTTCTTTCTCACCAGTCCCAGCTCACTCTGCAAAGTGAACTCACCAAGTTCCTCATCCCACTTCATCAATTATGTCAAACAGGACTGTGCCAAGGGAAAAGGCAGCAGTTTGGACCAAATACACATGAATGTCCCCTCATATTCCCCACCTCCAGTTAATAGTCATTACACTCAGGCTCTAGGGAGGCTGCCAACAGAAGGGAGGGGGCTTTGGCATTTACAGAGCCCCTCTGTGAATTCAAAGCATTGACTCATTTCATGTCCACCCAAACTCTGATGAGGAACCCTTCTCAGGGTTCAGAGAAGGTCAGCCATCTACCTGATTTGACATGAGAAAACTTTGCCTTTCTGAGGAAGGTCCAGTTTCACTTGGTGGTGTGCTTGCCCACCCCCACATCTAGCAAAGAGAGAGACCTTGAGGAGATGAAGGGCTGAAGTGGTCAGGTTGAGTTCAGGTCTCCTCATTCCTGTCAGCCGGAAACTGGCCACTCAACCAGCAGATACCCACCCACATCCACAAACCCCACCCCCTACCCAAGCCTCTGAATCATCAGTGGGGCCAATTTAGATGTTAAAAACCCATGCTAGGTGATGAGTGGTTTGGGGAGGAATAGGACTCAAGCTACCTGTGAAGAGGCTAAGTCCTCAGAGCCCCTCAGTCAACAGTATTGTCCCAGGAATACTTTACAAAAGGGCACCAGGGAAACACGGGGTCAGAAACCATAGCAGCAGCCCCCCAGCTGGCTTCTCCACTGGATTCTAGAGTAAAAGGGTGTCAGGAGCTGTACTCCCTCCACTTGCCCCCCGGGACCTTCCCACCTCACCTCTGAGGTAGCCAGCTATGTCACCTCTCCTCCAGTGCCCATCTCAAACCTAGCACTACCTGCTTGGCCTCAAAGAACCTCACCTCTCTGGGCCTCATTTTCTCCTTTGTAACGGGAGCACTGGCGGCATAATGCCTAACCAGAAGGCACTACACTAACTACTGCTATTCAGAAGGGTGGAGGTTCAAACCCACCAGCCACTCCTGGGGAGGAAGATTGGGCAGTCTACTTCCATAGACATACCACCTCGGAAACCCAAGGAGGGGTCACTATAAGTTGACTCGACAGCAGTGAGTTTGGTTTGTTTGGTTTTTGGTAAGGTAGGAATACTAATTGCCACTTTGCACAGCTATAGTGAGGGTTAGCCAAACTCATACATGCCACCAGACGTCCACAATGCCTGGCACTGGGCCTAAGTCAACCACTGGCACCCCTTCTACCCTCGTCTGCAACAGACATGCTATCTAACCACGACACCCACCCTAGCCGTTCCCCAGCCTGGGGCTCCTGGCATAGTGTACCACAGCTTCATTTTAAATCACATAGGAGGCTGACTGAGTGGATAACTCCTCTCTGAGATGCCATTATCTCCTAGGGCCAGTGGAGAGCAAGGAGTATGAGAGGCAACCGATGCTGAGAAGACCTAGAACCTCTCCTCCTGGGACTACTCGATGCTCCCCTCCCTCAAAAGTGCCTAATGTGATGGAAGTCTGTCCCCTACCCTGCCCAGGTGCCAAGCCTCTGACCACCGCCCATACCCCAGCCATCCTTCAGGTCAAAGTGCTAGGCTTCAGAGCGCGCCCCAAATGTTCAGCAAACAGGGCTCAGCTCTCAGGCTCTGGCCACAGAGCCCAAGGCACAGCCTGCCATACCCAGGCGTGGCGTCGGGGCTCGGGGCTGCGGACCCGGGACCACGAGAGAGCGTCCCGCAGCTCATGGCCCTCGCCAACCATAGCCCCAGCTCCGGCTCCCGTGGCAGTCGGGCCGCCCGCCCCGTCTCGCCCTTCAAGCCCGCACACCCGCACTACTCACGGCGGGAGGCTGCGCTGCGACGGGCGCGGGGCTCGGTGGGGTGCGCGTTGCTTGGCTCCGCTGTCCGTCCTTCGCGCCTGGTGCCCGCCCGCCGGGTCGCTGAGGAGCCGAGGGGCGGAGCGCCCGGCCTTGTCCCAGGCGCCGGCTGGAGGCGCGCCCGGCGGCCCGGGACGGGGCTTGGGGCTCCCCCTGCTGGGATGCCACTCAGGACTGCCCGTCTGACCGGCACCTCAAGGACTCTGAGGCTCAAGAGAGCAAGACCCTTCTCGAACCCTTCCTGACCCTGTTGCTCACATGCTGCGTGGCCTTGGTCAAGTCACCTAATTTTCCCCAGCCTCGTTTACCTCATCTGGAAATTGATTTAAATGAGCTGATACGTGAGATATAGTCTGTACAATGGCACAACCGTATTTCCTTGCCCTCACCCACTACCATTACTGTGAGAAAGAAGTCATACCAGGGAATAGGCCCCTTCCTCCCAGCCAGTACGCTCTCTGACACCACCTAGATTCTTCTAGGAATCTCACTACTCATGTCTCACAACAAGGTGGACAGTGATGGGAAGGGCCTTTCCCCTGTCCCTGTAGCTTGAGATCAGCTGGGCCCAGCTACCCTTTGCTCCCTTAGCTCTGGCATGGTTAGTGAATGAGGTACCCACATCACCTTCAAGCCTTCCCTAATAAAGTACTTGGAAGCAGATTCCTCCTCTCTTTTTTCTGCCAGAAAATCCTGAAAGGAAAAAGCAATGAGAGTAGAGGTTATGATGGGAGGAAGGAAGCTGACACAGAACTTAAGCCAAATTCAATGGTCCACTAGACAAACTGTTTAGTGGGAAAAAATGAATGCAGCCTCAAAGAGCTTCCACTCCTAAGTCATCCCCTGGGGCTTCTGAAGAAAGTCACAGAGGAAAGAATATTAGGCTCAGAGTCTTACTGTCTGGTCCAAAGCCCTGCTCTGACATTTGGGGTGTGTGCTCTTGGGCAAAGCACTTGAGCTTTCTCCTCATCGGTATAGTGGGGAAATACCACTTTTTAAGGAGCTCTGGTAGCGTAGTGCCTAAGGCACTTGACTGCTAATCAGAAGGCTGGCAGTTCAAACCCACCAGCCATTCCTCAGAAGGAAGGTTGGGCAATCTACTTCCGTAGAGATACCATGTCGGAAACCCAAGGAAGGGTCCCTATGAGTCAGGTCTGACTCAACAGCACATAACAACAACAAAGGAGCTCTAGTAGTGTAGTACCTAAGGCATTTGACTGCTAACCAGAAGGCTGGCGGTTCAAACCCACCAGCCACTCCTTGGAAGAAAGATTGGGCAATATACCTCTCTAGTGATACTGCTTCGGAAACCCAAGGAAGTTTCCGAGTCAGATCTGACTCAACTGCAGTGACTTTACCACTTTCTATAGCTCCTAATAAGGACCCCTGGTGGCACAGTGGTTAAGCACTCAGCTGCTAATGGCAAGGTTGGCCATTGGAATCCACTAGCTTCCCCAGGAGGAAATATCTGATGATTCGCTCTTGTAAAATTTACAGCCTAGGAAACCTTATGGGCCAGTTCTACTCTGTTCTATAGAGTTGCTATGAGTCAAAATTAACTTGACGATACACAACATTGCTTTGAAACAAACCACCCCAATCTTGTAGGCATAAAAAAACAGCAATTTCATTATGTTCATGGATTCTTAGGGTCAGGAATTCAAACAGAACATAGCAAGGATGCCTTATCTCCAATCCATTATGTCTGGGGCTTCAACTGGAAAGGCTAAGGGTGATTTGAATGGCTAAGACTGGAATCATCTGGAGGTTTCTTCCTTCACATGTCTGGTGCTAGTGCCTTGGCTGTGATGAATCCAAGGCTGAACTCAGGGGACACTGCTGGAGCACCTACATGTATCTTTTCCTCTCCAAGCCTTCTACTTAATTTCTAATTTTCAGCAACAGCATCTCCTTGCATGAGCCAAAAGACATTCTCAGATTCGGCACTTGCCAATTAGAGAACGTCGCAGATGAAAGGAAGGGTCAATGCACTCATCCAGCTTGTTCATTTTTCAGATGAGGAAACTGAGGCTCTGAGAAGGAAGGTGACTTGCTCAAGGTCACACAGCTGGTAGAAGGCAGAGCTAGGATTAGAAGTGGGCCTCCTGACTCTCAGTTGGGTGTTTTTGTTTTTTTACAAAACGCAACTGCCTAGGGAGGTACCAGGGAGCTCTGGTAGCATAGTGGCTAAGACACTTGACTGCTAACCAGAAGGCTGGCGGTTCAAACCCACCAGCCACTCCTCGGAAGGAAGGTTGGGCAATCCTACTTCCGTAGTGATACTGCCTCGGAAACCCAAGGAGGGGTCGCTATGAGTCAGGGCTGACTCGACGGCACATAACAACAACAACAACAGGGAGGTACCAGGTAGACATTTTATGCCTGAGGTTAAGTGAGTTCATCAGACCCTCATCCAAGAGCAGCAACAGGACACTGAGCACTGAGCAGAAGACCAAAAGGGGCAATAGGAGAAGGGGGCTGAAGACAGTGGCAATAAGGACACCTGCTCAAAAATAAAGCCAGCAGGAGGTCCAGTTATTAAGAGCTAAGAAAGCTGCAACTCCACTCTAGTCCCTGCATGGTTCCCATCACTGACCAAACCACTCACCCTGACATTTAAGGCTCCAACCTGCATTTTCCACTTTGTCTCCTCTTACATATATGCATGCGCATCAGGCCCTTATTCTGGATTATTGGTGGTTTCTGCCACCATATGCTTACCTAAGCCTTTCCCACCACCACTCTCCCTCATCCCATCTTACAAATCTTATCCATGCTTCAAAGGCCCTCTCAACTGTCATATTTCCCATGGGAACTTCCCCGATCTGCCCAACTACGTGGCTCTCTCCTCTAAACCCCACTATATTTGGTTACTGTCTCTCTTGTCATTGCCCTTCCTGTATTTGCCTTGAAGGGCAAGGACCATGTCTTGTTCATCATTGTACCCATACAGTGCCTGATATCAAAAAAACAAAATCTTGTTAAACTGAGCTACTAGAATATAAATGCCACAAAGGAAGGGGTCATAACTACCTTGATTTCTGTTATCTCCAAAGGGCACTCAACTGCCTGACATTTAGTAGATGCTCAATAATCATATATGAATGGACAAATAATTAATTTCAATAGTTACCATGTACTACATTTTTTCTATCATATGCCATCCCAGTACCAGGTGTTTTACTTTGAGGTGGCTGCTATTATTTCATTTTACAGATGAAGATAACAGAGGCTTGGGGAAGTTGACTTACCTCAGCTCACCCAACTTGTAAGTAGTTGAGCTATGATGTGAACCTTGACTGCTCATCTCCAAAGCTCAAGCTCTTTCTCTCCCCTAACCACACTGTCTGCCCCAGATGAAACCTCCAAGAATTCTAAAATGGTATCAGTGCAGGGGTTCTCAGCCCCGACTATACATCAGAATCACTGGAGAGTGTTTAAAAGATCCCATGCCCAGGCTGTATCCTACATCAATTACATCAGGATTTCTAGGGGGTGTGGTCTGGGCTGCAGTATTTAAAAAAACTCCTCAGAGCATTCTATTGTGCATCCCCGATTGAGAGCAATTTTGTTCATGTCACAGAGACCTAGGCAAATGAAAGCATCCTCCATTAACCCATCAAAGTGCAAACACATCTGAGCACCTGCTTTGTGAAAGACATTCCGAGGACTATGAGCTACAGGAGCTTGGAGCTTCCATACCATGAGGAGACAACCCCACAGAGAAAGACGTGACTGTGGCAGGCAGCAAAGGTGACATACTAGTGGTGACATCTTGAAGCATACTTTGGTGCCTGGAGAGTTTCCAGAGCCTACCAGCCCTCTAAGAAGGAGGAGGGCAGGGATTGAAATCTGTGTGTTGGCTGTGGCATACATCACAAGGCATTGGAGTTGACACAGAGGATGTGTGAAGGTAAAAGTCATGGACTCTGAAGCCAGATTGCCTGTGTGTGGATTCCAACACTGCAATTGTTTTACTGTGGGGTTTAGGGCAAGTTACTTTATTTCTCTGTGCTTCTATCCTCATCTGTCAAATGGAGCTAATAATAACAATCACTTCAAAGATTGTTGTGAATGTTCAATTAGTTATCAGTATGAGTGAAGCACTTAGATCAGTGCCAGACACATAATAAAATGCTCACTTTTATTGTTTCTTAAATGTCTGGTATGAGCTTCCCTAGGGGAGAAAATGGATCTCATTCATTTTTGCGCCCCATCTCACCCCCAGCCTGGCTTAAAGCAGGTTCTTAGGAAGTGTCAAATGAAGTCTGGAATGCCAGCTTCTTGACAATGGGTCCGGTGCTAGCTACATTTTTACCTCAGGTCAGAACAAAGGTGGTTCCTCCCCAGGGGTTCGCGCCAGGGGTGGGAGGCAGGTAGGAAGCCCCCTCTTCCCAAGGGGAGCCTATCCTTCTCACTCAGCCCTACCCAGCCCTGCTCACCCTGGCCTATGCCCTCTGCTCTCCCACACTTGGCCAGGCTGGGTTGGGGTGTGAAGCAGGTCTGGCAGCCCTTCCTGGTTCCTCCCTCAGGAGGCCCGCTGGCTCCTGGTGCTAGAGGCAGATGCTTTGGCCTCTACCTTTGCTGGACTCAGCAAACCCTTGACCCCGCCACAGAGATAGGATGGGAAAGGGGAGGAGAAAAGAGAGAAGGGCTCAGGGGACAGGGGAGATAGGGCTCCAATGCCAGGAAGGGTCAGGTCTATTCCAGCAGGCATCATGAGGGGGCTTTAAGGGAAGACAAGGCTTGATTCAAACTTGAGAAAGAATGGTGCTCACCAGAGGTTTGGGAGGGCATGGGTGGGGTGGGGTGAGAGGAGAGAGGGTACATTAGGTGGGAGCAGCTGTGTATGCAAAGTCTGAGAGTGTGAAACCACCTGTCATTTACCAGCTCCTACCTCAGCCAGAACAGGAGTCACACTGGCACCATGACCCAGATATATGCCATCATACACTGTTTGGGGCCATTGA